AAGGTTACCTACTCTACAACTAGGATTTTGAGGGCCCTTATGATAATTGAAGTATAACCTACCCTAGAATCCCTATTCGAGCAATTACCTGTACTATTTTGAGGGGTCCTTATAAGAAGGGAGTTTTAGGGGTTCCTTATAAAAAATGGAGTATAATATACCCCCCAAACCCTATTCTAACTATTAAGGCCCCTACATTACCACCGCACTCCCATGTCTCTGCGTGTGGTGGGCGTGTAGCAGCGTGTATACACAGACGCGCAGGCATGCATGCACGCATATATAAGTATCTAATAGGTTACGTCTTTGTATGTACATGCATGCTTTCAAACACACTACGTCTCAGAATAGTGTCTGCTGTATATCTATGCGCTGAGTCAGTCCGACATACAATGAAGACATTCCTGGAAGTCGCAGCTGCGGGCCATGGTGCACTGTCAGCACCAAGAAGCAGCCGCTTCTGCCACAGGTCCTTGAACTAAAAACCCTGTCTGCGGGGTACCCTTCTATCACTATCCCTGAAGACCCTACCAGTTCCGTGAGGCGATTGAATTTGTGCTTGCTACGTTGGTTGAATCTTGGCCAAAATGCCGAATCCCAAAACATCAAGTCAGAGTGGGGGTGTAAGTTGGAGGGCCTTCGAAATAGTAGCCTATTCGGGACTGTCCCGGGGCGATTGTTTCTACTCTCGCTCTTTCTATCTTGAACCCATCATGCCACGTCACCTGCTGGTTGGGCATCTCTGGGACAACCATCGTTGGCGCTTTGGCCTTGTCACTCTCATCTTTCACCTCCGGGTTGCTCCGAAAAGGGACCCTGAGAGCCGTTTTTCTCGTAAATGGCTTTAAGTGGTATTGCTACCTACTACCCCTAAACCCTAAACCCTGAACCTTAAACCCGAAACACTCAACCTGAGACCCCAATTCATCCTAATTCTCTTTATGCTCCGGCCTGAATGTTACATGGAGGATGTGGGGTAGCTAGAATGTAGGGCAGGGTATGGATCACGCAAGACCCAAAGCTCCAAGCCGATCAGGTTCAAGGGTTTCACAAGGCACGAGGCACCGAAGTAGGCACCGTCCGAAAAATCCAAAGCCAGAGACCGCGAGCTGCAAACCAGACGAGGCCCTACCTGTGGATCCAGAAACCTGCCTTTTCAAGGGTTCGGCCCATATGTAAGGGATCATAATACCGCACATGATCGACAAGAATACGCGCACCGCCAAAACCCCAACATGCCCATGTCTATCATTCGTAAACCCTGAACCCTAAAGAAGTCCCGACAGATGCCCGAAGCCTTGCGTCGCATCTTCTGCAGACTTTGCCGGTTCTTCCACAGCTTGTACACCACGGCCCCACAGCAAGTCTGGGCGTAGATTGGTTTGGCTCGTTGAAAGCCTATGTTGCAACACTAGTTTGGGGGCTGAAGTGCCAGGCGCTGCAGAGGCCAACAAAATCCTCAAAAGGTTTCTCTGAGGACTATTATAGTATAATATACCCCAAAACCCTATTAACGTTATGAAGTACCTATATTATCATCCCAAAGATTCTAGGCCCCAAACCCTTCTTGTACAGCACCTGAGTCCCAAGGCCCACCCTTGCGCAGCTTCATTGAAACGTGGGCTCATCCCAAACCTCTATGGTCCGAGGCTTTAAAATAGGGGCCTTCATAATTAGAAAAGGGTTTTTGGTGCCCATTCTATCATTGATATACTAGGGAACCTTCCCCCCCAAAAAAATGTATGGGTACTTATTAAGCCCCCTATATTAGGGTTGAGGGTTTCTGAGCTCTGGTTCAGGGTTGTGGGGTTTTGGTTTCCCAAAGGTTGGGATCTACCTTTTGCCTCATAACCTACAGTGCCGCATGGTTTACAGCGCAGGGAGGTTGTGTATCAAGACCATGCAAGAAGAAGTAACTTTCGGAGTTTCCCAACCAAACCCCAAGTTCAACTTGTCTCCAACCCTCAGCCTCAAACCAGCTTGAGCCCTAACTTTACCTGTAAGCTTCTCTTGCACCTATTTCGACTCTTGCAACGACATATGTAACCCCAAACTCTCCCCGTTGAGCCGCAACAGCGAACAGCATGACCATCACGAACACGGGGAAGAGAGTGGAGGAGGCGGTGAGGTCGCCTGTGCGATTGGTTTCTTTCAAGATCGTAGCTTCTTGGGAGTGTATATATATACACACACACACACGCTCTCTGTCTCTCTCTCTCTCTCTATTTATATATATATATATATATGTATAGGTACTTAGAGCATGTGGACTGGCTCATTATTGGGAGTGTTTCTTGATTCTTCTTTGCAACAACGATTGATCCGGGGTCACAAGAGATCTGACTTCCAAACAAGTTGACAATTAGCATCTTGTTTCCGGGCTTATGCGCAGTCGAAGAGGGGGGAGCATGTCATAAATCTTCCAAGGCTTCTTGGTGGGATGGTGCTTTTTAGGGAATGCCTAGCCCGGAGCATCACAAGACTGCGTAGACTCTACAAAGACTCTAGAAGAATGCGAAGCACTACTTCCGCAGGAACTCCACAACGCCTATCCTAAGTGTTTGAGAAATATTGAAGTCAGTAACCATACTATAATCAGATACTCAGTATGATATTTCGACAGCAATGGGCCCTGTATTCCCCACTGCTCCATCTACCGATGTAGTAATTATATACTTGGGCCTTGAAGGGGTTCCTACATAGGTACTAAATCGGCACATGGTGCCCGGCATCTCTGAAACCCTAAACACCGAACCATAAACCCCAAAGCCCTAAACCCTCAACCCTACCTTTAATAGCCCTGAAACAAGGATTCGGACAGGTAGGCCTCCGGGTCTCTTCTGTTGCAAGGGCCCAACCCAAAGTGCAATCGATCACATCGACCAGCTTTAAACTTCAGCTAGGCTCTGGGACCCAGGTCTGGGATGTAAGGCTTAGGGTTTGAGGCTTGCTGTTTCGGGTTTAGAGTGTAGGGTTTAGGCGTAGGTTTTAAGCTTTAGGGCTTAGGCTGATGGACATCTGGTAGATAAGACAGTCGGAAGAATCATGAACCCAAAACACCAGGTGCACGCGCCTGCACCACCGAACTGGACTCCGGCTCCGGCACCTGCATCCGCCGATACAACGGACGCAGTTAGGGCTTTACGGTTTATTCTTTTTGGGTTTCGGGTGTTACGGGCTTCAGGGTCAGTTGCATAAAACAAACAATCCCTAAGTCCTGTGTATGTCCTAACCCCAAATCAAAACCATTAATCCTACACTCCTAAACGTGAAATCTCTACATCCCTTTGGACCCTCAAGCCCTAAATCCCCAAACTCGACCTCCGTTGTAGGTCGTAGTCTCAGTGACGCGCGCGTCGGAGACCTCGGGGATCACTTTTCAGCTATATGTAATTGTGTTTCTTGAGTTTAGGGTCTAGGGTTAAGGGTATGGGCTTCAGGGCTTAAGGGATAAGGATTTAGGGTCGTTGTTCCAAAAGGTCCTGTTTGCAGCGAACTCCGAAGGGAACCTTACTAGAGCCCTTCTGGCCGCCTGTAGGGGGTGTTGAAGGCATGGCAGTGGGCAGCCGGGGCGGCTTAGGGTTTAAGGGTAGTCGGGGGGTCATGCTTGAGCTTGAGATGTTTGTCTGAGGGTGCTTAAGGTTTAGGGTTTTGGAAACTTTTGGGCTGAGGGTTTAGTGATCAAGAGCTTAAGAAGCTTTTTAGGTTGTAGAAGATCTGAAAGGGAGGGGCCAGTGGAAATGCTCTTCTTTAGCAGGAAATCCTGACCTAGGCTGGCCCTTTACAGCCTTTCAAACATCTTCGTAAATAAGATCCTCTTTGGCCCAATAAGGACAATACAAAATGCCCCAAAGACCCACTCCTGGCTTGCCTGCTGCGGTGGAATTCGGTTTTCAGGGTTTCAGCTTGGAGGCTCCAATGTTTTGGGGGCCTTCAGAATTTGAATGATTTGAATGAAGTCTGGGTGCATAGTGTGGGAATAATATGGGTATTTGTTGCGACCCCTATAGTAGGATTTGTGGTTTCGGGATTGAGGCTTTGGGGTCCTTGGAGGGTTCCGGGCTGAGAGAGCTTTGGGCTTAAGAGTAAGGGCACGTAGCATGTAGCGAATGGGGTTGAGGTTTGGAGTTCGGTTCAAGGTCTTATACAGTAACGAGGCCGAACTCATTTCGAGAGGGGTATCTTATACGGGTGCAGCGGATAGGCTGCTGACTTTTCGGCATTCCTCCTGTGTTGGGGCTTGTCGTTCGTGGTGAGTTAGGTCTAGCCTAGCCACTTAATGCAGTGGCCTTAATAATTAGAATACGGCTCCGTATTATTAGTATTGTTACAGTATAACATACCCCAAGTCCTATTCAAATAACTAAGGACTCTTGGAACTCCTGGCTTGTCATGTACAAAGGGATCTTAGGCTTCGGGTCCATGGGCTTAGGATCTTGCATTTAGGAGCACTTCGTGGGGCACGACTGGATGACTGGAAAGGGCATGGAAGCATGCGGAGTCTGAGAACATGGTCTGCGACGGAAGTTACATAAGAGACCTCAACAAATCAACCCCTAAACTCCTAAATCCTGAACCCTACAGACCCAAAGCCCAAAACTTCATACTCCTAAATCTCTTGCAGGCTAAACCCCGAAAGCCCCACAGCCCTGAACAGTCCCAACAACACACCACCGATCTCTCAACAATCTTCAGCGCGCGCTGAGGCCGGCACGTTCGATTCATTCCTGAAAGGGGACACGGTGTAAATCGGAGAATTGGGACAAGTGAGCCTCAACCCTAAACCCTTAGCCTTAGCCCTAAAACCCTAAACCGAAAGACCCTCAAACCCACTGGGGTGCAGGCCGGATCCTTGGATGAGGAACCCAAAGTTTTACAGACCCTGATTAAGAGGATCCTCACTAACCTTAAGAAAGCAATGGGGGTAGTTCTCCAAGTTCGGGACCCTTTTTGGATCCCAAATATAGTACGGCACCCGTATAGAAAGGACCGTAATCGGGACCCTAACTTAGAGAACTACCCATATGATGACCCTAAACCATAGAACCTTTCCCCGGGGGCGTTGGGTATGGTTCGGGGCTTCAGTGAAGCTTGAATCGAATTTTCCCCTGTCTCATAAGCAGCAAAGAAAAAACCCTATACTAGATACTTACGCTAGCCACCAGAAATTCATCCCTCAACCCTCGACCCTAAACCTTCTTAAACCGTAATCCCTGAACTGAACCCCGCCTGTGAATCGCCACCAATGCAGACCAAAAGACCGAAAACTTAAGCCCAGCAAGCCCGGCAAGCTAAGAACCGTAGGGCGGGTTTAAGGTTTGTGGGTTTAGGTTTTAGGCCAGTGCGGGTTGGGCTTTTTTTGCGTTAGGGTTGAGAGCTTAGGTCTTTAGTTTTGGGTTTAGGTTGTTGCTTTCGTTAAGAAAACTCTGACCCTAAACCCTAAAGCCTAAACCCTAAACCCTAAACCCCTAAACCCTAAACCCTAAACCCCTCTGAACTCTCAAGGCCGGCAACCATCGAAGCGCTAGGCTATTACACCCGAAAGCCCCGACTCACTCAACTTTCACACACTTGAAAAATTGTCGAAACCCTGAACCCTAAACCCTGAACGAAGAATCCTGAATGATTGGAATAAGTCCCTGTCAAGCCCTGGTAGAGCCCGAAAGCCCATAGCTTTCACGTCCAGAAACAATCGACGAAGAGTCCATGTATTCCCCTACCATCAAAAGGGTTTAGGGTCTAAGGTTTAGGGTATTTAGGGTTTAGGGGTGTAGGAATCCCTACTACTAATTACTGATTCTTCGGACCATAAAGACCTCTGCTAGGCTTTGAAGTAGCCAGGGAGAAAGAAACCATACGCTTTCATTTCATAATGGTTTCTTTAAGGAAAAAGTACACCAAAAAATGCATCGAGGTATGGTACTCCAGAACCCAGTCTGTCTTCGTCGAAGGGTCCAGTCATCCGAGTCTTCCGATGGAGGAGTGGAGGTTGCAGGGCTTTCCGAGGTGGAAACCACGAGAATCCCATTCGGTGCCCTGCGGGTGCACGGTTGAGGGCTTAACCCTAAACCCTAAAGCCCCTTAGGGTATGAGATGTTTGTAACTAAGGCCACGGGCTTTTTGCTTCGGGGGTTCCAGTTTCGAAGGTAAACTGTTTTTATAAAGGGTCGGCTTCAAACCCCTCTGTCACTGTGCTTTTGAGGATCTCCTTTGCTTAAAGGTCTAGTTTAGGGCTTAGGGTTTCGGGGGGTTCGGGGTTTAGGGTGTTAGGATTTCGGGCTTTAGGCGTCCTCGAGAACAGGGTCGTCGTTCGAGTGGCGGTGGTGGTGGTGGTCGAGTTGGTCCAGGTTGAAGTGCTACTGGAGCTGCTGGTGCTGATGGTTCTGCTCCCGGTGGTCGACAGGGTGACGGTGGTGACGGTGTTTGTTTGGGAAGCTGAAGTAGTCGAAGTTGCAGTTCTCGATGAACTACCAGTGAAGGTGCTCGTAGTAGTTGAAAGTGTGGCGGTCGTCCGGGTCCTCGTCTGTGAAATTGAAGTGGTGGAGGTGGTAGTTCCTGATGAACTACTTGTGGTCGTACTGGAGATTGTGGAGAGTGTGCTGCTGGACGTGGATGTGCTGGTCTGAGTGGCGCTGGTGGTTCTCGTTGCGGTGGCTGTGCTGGTGGTGACCGTACGGGAGGTGGCAGTGGTGGATCTGCTTGTTGTGGAAGTGCCCGTGCTGGAGGTGAAGGTGGCCGTGGAAGTGGTAACTGTCCTGGAGGTGCTGCTCGTAGTGGTCGTTGCCACACAAACGCCCTCATAAAAGGGGTCAGCACTGGTGGCGACAATGGTTCCGATGTAGCCGTAATCACATGTGCAGCCAGCTGCAACATGCGCACCTGACGAATACTTGGGGCAAGCAACTGTTGCACAAGTGCCTGTGAAGTAAGGGTAGACCGCTGAGGCATTGATCGCCCCCACATAACCTGCATTGCAAATGCAGCCATGTAGAACACTGGTGCCGTTCGAGTTTGCTGGGCAGTTGACTGAAGGACACTTCTCTTCCGTTGGGGGCAGCTCTGGCGTATAAGTACCTCCTCCACACAAACAGCACGCCTCTCCAGCGTCCAGCCCTTGCGTGGTCCAATCCGCGAACTTGCCCCACCAGGACTCCCATCTGGTTCCATATCCGGTCGGAGTGCAGAAAGCCAAGGCATGGTAATCTTCGCACCGGTTGTTGTAGCCATCTGACCAGGCATGCCGTGTAGGATAGCCCCAGTTGTGCACAGGATCTAGATCCATGCAAGTGCCGACACAGTAGCTGTCGTTGTACTCTAGGCCGTCGCTACCCATGCAGGTTCGGTTCCGGCGCCTAACGAAGCCGCCATCACAGGAACCCGAGTGCAAGCCACCGTCCCACGTGCTGAGAACCCACATATGGCCTTAGCCGCACAGCATCTTTGGGGAAAAAAGCCACATCGGCAGCCTGTCTGCATTCGTTCATCATGCGCCACCTGTGATTTTTACCGTCATATACCATCGTAGCGATCACCATCAACACTGTCATGATCAGGGTCATTATCAACGCGGAGCCATGAGAACAGTACGGGTACGATGGTCGTATTTGCAATCAGCGGCACGGTCAACTGAACCGTCGCCTAAACCCCTAAACCGTAAATCCTTCGAGCAATATAGGGGCCTTAATAAGTAGAATAGGGTTTTGGGGTATATTCTATTACACTGTAGTCATGGCAAGGAGCCCCCAAGACCCTATTCGAATTATTAAGGCCCCTGTATTACTCGGATCTACACTCCGAGTGGCGAAACAGGCGTTGTGTGAAGCGGACATTGCGACGCGGGTGCCAAATCCCAATACTTTTCTCCTGGGCAGAAGCTTGCGGAGTCAGGCTATACCAATGGATCCAACTGCCTCTTGTCTTCAGGCCTCTGCCCTGCAATCAATGGGTTAGAACTTACTATTTTGTAGGGTTCGGCGCCACAGATTGGGCTTAATTCTACTCTAGGAACGAAGCTGTTTTGCAATTATACCAATGCTACTTGTGGTACGAGGCTCCTGCTACGATTGACTCCTGATACATGCGGCCGTGGTATACGCTGAAGATGTTCTGCTCAAGACTGCAAGAAGGATGAAATCCTGCAAACACACATAGAAACATAAACCTAATCACAGACTGAGACTAGACCCTGTCTAAAACACCACGAACGAAGCCATTGAACCACTCACCAAACCCTCCAGAAACCCGAGCCCAAAACCAAGGCACTCTGCATCCCAAACCCTAAACCCTGTACTTCAAGCCGACTCAGACGAAGGCCATGCTGTGAAGCCAAGCATCTGCATAGAAGTGCAGCCAGCCAGCGAGATCGGCCTAGCAGTTCAACCCTGAACAGCAAAGAGTACCCTTGTTCCTACTATGCGATTCTCCACAAGGGGACCCTATATAATGAAAAGGGCAACAGGGGTACTACTGGTAGCCTTAGTGCTGTTGTTGTTTTTGTTTTTCTCCCTTACGTGGTGTTGAAACGTCATATGGCTATGGATGTAAGGACCTGTAAACATTTCACTGGTATGGTTACGCTCTTTATTGTTACTAGCTGTGATGGCGAACTGCTGACATCTGTCACCCATGCTGCAAGTAGATTGAAAATGCGAGGAGCTGACCATTCCCGCCTGGCGTTCAAAAGCGAAGCTGATAGTGACGGATTGGTTCGGGGCAATCACGGTGTTGCCGTTCTCGCGAAGCATGAACCAGGGAGTCAAAGAAACCTGGGCTTGTTCGGTTTAGCTCGACGGCAGAAGTCAAGACTCTTCCAGAAATCGATCACTCGTCATGTAGAGTCAAGGGCGTCGTACACAGATATAAAGTGTCGCGCGCACATCCAAAGTTGGTTTCCAGATATGCACTGCAGAAGCCTGAGCACCGCAGACTCCATAAGTCAAGCCATGAAGCCCGCATCATGGGGACTCTTACACAACATTCAAAAAAACTATCCTTAACCCTTCAAGCCCCCCCCCCCCCCCCCCCC